AAGATCAAATCAGATCAGAAGCATCAACTGAACAATCACACACACATATTTCCTGATCGCATCATGAGTTTGAGAGCCGCCAAGCCACAAACGAAAAGAGGTGTGGTGGTTTAACTTCACCTGTTAATTTACAATGAGCTCATATCAAATCTGCATAATTTTAGTGATCTGCATATGAGCAAATGGTAACAGCAAACCTGCTCACATGAGACCCAGTGTGCAAATACTCTCCATGCACGCTTGAGACTCAGGGACTCCACAGGTCACCAGTGTTGGTTCACCACACACGCCAAGAATTTACAAGGACAAGCTTGGCAATTTTGGCAAGTCTTTCAAAGCATCACACATCAACGCCTGCTGAAATAAAAACCTGTAGTAGTTTGTGCTTTAACTTGCTACTTCCAGCATGCAGGTGGAATGAAATGCACCACCCTAGAAGTGAAAGGGTGACAACTAAGAAGTGATGCAAAACAGAGAATAAAATTGCTTAATCTACAATTTCTATTCTACATAAATAAAGTAATAATTCATAATAATTCAAAATAATTCATTCCTAAAATGACAATTGTCTTCCATGGACCAAAGGAGAAATGTTGAAGAATAAAAGTAGTCCATTGACTTGACTTGTTTGGAGTACAATTTATAAGGACTCAGCAACCCGTATCCTTGTTAACTTGGATGGCAAGTACGTTCATAAAAACGTATCCTTTTTTGTTAAACATAGGAATGTCAGTTGGTTTTGAGAGTAAGTCAAGTTACCACGGTAAAGCTGAGGAGTCTGGGTCTGCTTTGCATCCGGAGCCAGTTTAAAGTTCCAGCATCATAATCCCTAACCTTCAAAGAATAATATCTCCTTGCTTTCTTTCACTAATTCTAAACGCTCACAAGAATGAAAAAAGGATTATTTTACATGCCCCACACAAGACACCAGCAAAGCTAACCCAATGAAAGGAAACCCATGCCACTTTATAGGAACAGAAACAGCACAAGTCACTCTCAAGGAGACACTTAATCAAGTGATAATCTGGCATATTTAAAAGTCTTTTTTAATCTATATAAAAATATGAATGTTATATACACACATATATACATATATATATATATATATATATATACACACACACATACATACATACATACAGTTGATTGACTTGGTCTCTTGAGACCAGAGTATGGATTCCCAGAAGTCTCTATTTTGTAAATATGGGCCCTGGAAGAGGTTAAATGAGTTTATTTTGCATTGGCTACAGTAGGTAATTCTGGTGGTGACAACAACCATGCATGTCACTTCTGCAGGCTGCGTCATACTCTGTGAGATAAAGTGTCACTCTTTTTATAGCTTTTGCCGGCTCTGAGACACATTTTCTAGCAAAAATTCACTCATCACTAAATGAAAACTTAAAGGGAAGACCTGATTATTTCAGGAGTATGCCAATATTTTATGTAAGATAAGTAAATTAGCCAATTCTGTTTAAATGAAGGATTGCAGAAATGAGTACACCCTAGATTTAATTCAGAAAATGTATAATATTCTAGTACTTAGTATGTCCCCCAGAACTTGAAGTATACTGCTCTGACACTTCTTGGCACTGAGTGTACAAGTTCATGACAAATTTTCACATCTGTGCTGTTTAACTCCTGGAGGATGACCTCCTTAAATGCCCTGGTCTTTAATGGGGAGTGTTGCTCAGCTCGTCTCTACAGAATCTCTCACAGCAGCTCAAGAGTGTTAAGACTGAGTGAAATACATGTCCACTGAAGGATTTTCACTTTGGGAGAATGAATATATTCATTGTCATGCTGTAAGTAAAGAGTAATTGCTGAATGTTAAGTTTTAGAGGGGGGTGTACTCATTTATGCTGTGCACTGTATATATATGATGACTCAGTGAACAAATTGGAGTCATTTTCAATTTAAAAAGGACGAAATGTGGGTCTCATTTTCTAACTATAAACTCAGTACGTTTCCTCCATTGCTACATCAGAAATGCATAAAGCGCAGCTGGAGTCTGTGTGTATTGTTAGTGATGTAGAATACCATGGTACGTTAAAAACTGTCTGCCTTCAAACATCAGAGTCAGTGGTACCATTTCAAACTTAATCATAAAACAACTAGACATCATTTCTTGGCAGCTACCTGCTAACAACATTTTCAGAAAAAACTTTGGACAAAACAGATTTCATCGCATAAAAATGTAAAATGAACAATCATGATAGACAGATAAGATAGACAAACAGGACACTTTATTTGTCCCATATGGGAAGTGGTGATGTCCAATTCAGCCTGCTTCAATAAATACAAAACGTTTACATTACATACATAACAAGAGACAACATATAAACATAACCACCTACATAATGTTAAGATGGAGAAGTAAACAGTCCCTTACCTGTAGCATGTGGTCACCTCTCCTGTGGATTTTACGCACGGGTATTTCGTCGTTGCGATTTTGTTCTCTGAACACACTTCTCTGTAAGACAAAGGAGCCGTCAGCGGTTTCTTTTTACGTAAACAAATCCGCTTCATGCACAAGAAACAAACTTTCAGTCCTCTGAGCTCGTGTAAAGAGCGAGCTGACAGCACGCGCACTGCACGGACACTTTACCTGTCCACATCCTCCTTCTCCTCTCGGAAAGTCCACGGCGTTCCCGATGAGAACAGTATCACCACCACAGCAAGTCTGAGAGGAGTTCCTCTGCCCGTATAGCTCATTTCAGACACTCTGAAATGCTAAAAAAAGATACTTGTCCGTTTAAAGTCAGCGTCTTGGAGTTCAGCGTTTCTTTGAGGAATTGAGAGTATTGATTGGTTACCTCCTGCAAAGCTCCACGCGCAGATTCCCAGCGGCCCCTCCTACTCCCGCACTTGATCAACTTCCATAGATTCAGAAAAGAAAGTTATGAATTTAATATTTAATAAATGGCACAGGTAGCCTAACATTAAAAACATTCCTGTGGCGAAATCCTTATGGTGTGAGATTTGAGATAAATATTATATTATAATAGGCTACGTTAAAAAAAAGATGTCGTACTGATTTTTAAACGTATTTTAATATTTTACAAGTTTATTTATTTGTTTGTTTAACTATTTAAGGACACAGCTGAAGTCATATATAAATGTATGCTAATATGTGTGCTGAAAAAATGGTTTAGAAATAATTTTCAAACAGAAATTGCATAAAAATGGCAAGGAAACAGCAATTAACACATTGAATTAAAGGTACAATTTTGAAGAAGAAAAACTGAAATAGTGTTTTCTTGTAAAACATACTCCAGTAGTCCTTGTTTTTTTTTACAACTTCGAAATATCATATTTTTTTTATTGTACATATATATTTACTTATTGTACATTGTACATGCATATTTATTTATTTCTTTTACAAATCGTATTTTAACTACTTAAGGACACAGCTGGAGTCAGAATATATGCTAATATGTTAAACGAACATATGTCTCTCAATGAATTATAATAAAAATTTCATGTATAATAATTATAGAATAATTAGAAAAAAGTCTAGCAGATAGGCCGTCAAAGATAGTTGACAAAGTAGTTGACATTTAACCTGCCCATGGTTAATTCTTACAAATTCTGTACATTGACAGCGCAAATGTAATGTTATTAAATATTTTTTTTATATTTGAAATAGTGAATATTGAATTATTAAATTATAAAATAAAATATATACCCTGCCATGACTTGATTTAAAGCTCTCACATTGATTGCCCTCTAAGGTTAAATTAGGCAAATGAGACTGTGTTGGCAAACTGAATCTTTCACAACAGGGATTGTTTGCACCAATTCTTCATCCTTGACCTCTGAATGCTATATAAGCTGTTTAGGTGTCCCTCAAGGCCAGAGGACTGTTTTTATATTGAATGTTATAGTTATTTCTATGTTAGTGCTATTGATATCCTGAACTTTTGAATTTTAGTTGTGGCCACTGATGAACTGAGGAGACTTATTCAAAGTCTCGCCCTCTAGTGGCTGACAAAGCAGCAGCTGTTTCTTGTTTGAAGTCCTCACAAAAAATGATCTCCATCCCCAACCATCTGATGAGCAATAAATGAAGATGCTCTAGCCAGCAAACCTTCCTGATGACTAATCTCACATCTCTCCTGAGTAAGCAACTCTAAACATATCAGACGGTGTCGATCTCAAGTGTTTGAAAGCCCAGATAAATGATCTGCCTCCAAAAGGACGTGTTTCCATGGAGCTGTTTGCATGATGCTGCTGATGAATCTTGGCTGAGATTACTTTCGTGCCTTGCTTTTTTGTAGTAATAAACCCTCCTTGTCTTTTTCTTTTCACACTTTCATTGCAATCCAAGCAACAGATGATTTAAGACACATGGTTGATGTCATCAGAGCCAATGTCTAGACTTTATGGAGACTTTAAGATAAGTATTAAAAGTTCACTCTTTTTTTTCATCTTTAAAAAAAAGAACAATGGCTGAATGTGAATAAATTATTCTACAATCATTTTAAGATCAAAATTATCCCTGTTAGTTGCAAAAAAACTCTCCTTAATCATGATTTCTTATCACAGCATGATTGTGGATATGACATTTTAAATTTCACTGACCCGCCATTTGTTTTCAAATTCTGTCCAGCTGTTTTCATGAAATATTTTTTTGTCTCAGGTGGTTGCATAATTCATGCTGTGCTATTCAAACACCGAACAGAACAAGTAAACAAAACAAAAAAACAACAAAAAAAAGAATTGTTTTCATACAGAGAACACCTGCTCTTTTAAGAATATTACTCCTAATCAAACAGCTATGAGCTATTTGTTTTTAGTGTTTAACTAAGCATTTTATCCAGTGTAACAGGACGGCATTAGTGATAAGATAACAGTTTAGCAATTCCTGTGCTTCGTAAGGGTGGTCTCATTTACATAAAAATGAAGAACTGTTTTGACAGTATTATGAGTTAGGCAAATTCGAAATTATACAAATATGTGCTAATGAGAATGAGCATGTATGCAAGTTTTGTTTTTAATGAAAGCATAGGAAGTAGGTCAACTTGAGCAGTGTAAAAGCTGGAAAATGTGCACATCTTTTAAAAGCCTTTCAAATATTTTAATGTCAATGGTACATGCAAATATTTGCAGCTGGGACAAAACAGGTCTGTTTTTTGTTGTGTAATGGATTTAGAGTTTCTGAGTTCCAAGGAACAATGATTTGCTTCAATGTACAGTACAGTAACTATGAAGTTTTGAGTCAAAAGTCAGTTACACAAATATGTTTTCTCAAGCAGTGGTTTTGTACACTTCCATTTATTTATTTTTTAAAGAAATTCATATGTTTATACAGCAAGAATGCATTAAATTGAAAAAAAGTGACTAAATCTTTTACATTGTTACAATCTATTTCAAATAACAATAATATTTCAAACTATTACTGTTTTTACTGTAACTGTACCAACCCCAAACGTTTGAATGGTAGTGTTTCAAACATCCAATTCAAAAATCTTGCAAATGTTGTCCTAAAAAACTAATTAACAATAATATTTCAAACTATTACTGTTTTTACTGTAACTGTACCATCCCCAAACGTTTGAATGGTAGTGTTTCAAACATCCAATTCAAAAATCTTGCAAATGTTGTCCTAAAAAACTAATTCAAATACATTTTTGCTACAGCTGTTGTGTAAACAAGTGAACACAATATAACCACACTAATATATTCACCAGTAGTTTTGATATTTTGTACCTAATGTATTGAATTAAGATATGAAGTGTGTGGTATAAATATTCAAATACTTTTTAGAGCCAAGTATTTGTGAATCTAAAATGTAATTTTTTTTTCCTAAACCTGTTTTTGAATGATTGGTTTTAAGACCTGTGCCATTTTTCTTGAAGCAAAGTGAGAATCATCTGTGTTTTGACATGATGGTACAGCTCCTTGTGATAATGACATCTACATGTGTGTATTTGGTGCATGAGAACAGGAAGAATTTACCATGCTGACCTCTGGGTCACCCAAATCAATGGTCCATAATCAAGGTCATCCGGGGCACTGCTCTGTTAATTTTTTCTCCTTCCCTTTCTCACTAAAAGGTGCTGTATGTAAGTTTTTGACTCTACTAAAGCATAAAAATACCATAATATGTTTGCAGATATTTTAAGAAACATGCTAAGTTAACATAGGCCTACTTATTTATCTGAAAAACAATGCTACAGTCAGTTATTCTCCTTTGAAAATGTGTGTTCCGGGCCGGAATGTCGGTCTCTGTTTTGGTTTGTGAAACCCGCCCACTGCCAGTTTACCCAATTGTATTTCGGCACCCCGGGTTGCCAGTTGGCGGAAAATACAGCGTATTTCATTTCATTCATCGTCAAGTGCGCTCGTTCCTGTTGGTATCGTCAATCTGGCAACCTGCGTTTGTCAAGTCTGAGAAGGAGGGGCCGGGTGAAAAAAAACCTCTCCAATATTTGGAATTTGCACTGCAATACCTAGTTCAACCACTCGGTGTCAATCCTACATACAGCACCTTTAAATTGATAGCTGACACATTAGGAATCCAGCTCTGGATTTTTAATCTAGGCCTATGTGAAAACGTCTGAGAACAGAAAATGAAGTTGTGGGATTTACTACCGCTCTACATCAACAACACAATCTGTGGCCAGGACGAAACCTACGATTTATATTCACACACACACGGGTCATTCTACAGAAACGTCCACTTTTCTGTCACTAGACTTTACAGAAATATTACAATTGAAATACACATTAGAGTTACACTATTTTTATATTTTAAAATGAAACAATATGTTATTTGAACAATTACACCTTCCTGAGCTATCAATGTGGCATTTTTTTTTTTTTGTATTAATTATATAGAATTCAAAGTACCACAAAACTGCTTGTCCCCACAGCCATGTACAGAGGGAAAGTGCTTTATTTTGAGGTCAAAAACAGGATTTTCTACCATTTAAAATACAAAAGTCTATTCATAACGATCAAATATATGATGTAAATGGCATAAAAAAACAAAATGGCAAATAATTATTATAAAATATATAATGAAAATAGTGGTCCCCTGGAGTTGTGTCACTGGTGTTACCGTTTAACAAAAGTCTTTTATTTTGTAATAAAAAATTACACTGATGTCATCACTCGACTACCTCCCATTATGGGGCAGTTGGGCAAGTAATTTAAGGCACCATGAAATGTAAAATGAGGACTGTTCGAAGTTTACACCTCTTAGTCATAACCTAGTATAAGAGCATGATATAAAATAGCAGCGGACAATTGCAGTTTAGACAATGTACTGTACTTTGTTGTACATTTTAGTTGTTTTAGTTCAAATGTTTTAAAATGATGTTTATGTTCTTTTACTAACTGTTTTCACTAGTTGGCAAATGTATGCCAAATGTAACAATTTAGTAATTGTTAATTATAGCTGAAGAATAAGGGTGTTTGGTCTTATGTATGTCACTGGTGTTACATTGTGTCACTGGTGTTACTGTGTGTTTTTTTCTGTCACATTCTATAAAATGTGTCACATGTGACATGATAATAATTTTACATCTATTGAATTCTGCTACACTCAAGAGTTAAGATTTAAAGGATTGTATCATTACTTGTTTATAACAGTTTTTCTAATATTTTCATTGTTATAGCAAATACATGGTTGTGCAAATTAACTAACATCATTCAGCCACACTTTTAACAAACCTGATTAAAATAAATAAAACATAATCTCCTTATTTGTTGCATTATCATTATTTTTATGTAACTCTGACTACATGTGCTGAAAAAAAAGAGAAATAATATTTAATAAAAACCTTTAAAATTGCCAAAGAAGTAAGGTAACACCAGTGACAAAAAAAGGGTACATGCG